CTGAAGAGCTGCCTTTATTAGTGACTATCAGCCAGCAAGGGCTGGGCGTGACTCCTCAGGCCCAGGCTGTTAGTGAGGACTTACTTTGAAAATTTGTCTCCTTTCTTGTAAATTGAGTAGATTTTGACTGGGAAACACCGAGACTAAAGAGGTAGAACTGTCTTCTAGCTCAGTGACACTTTTAGTTCAAACACGTGAAACCAAACCCCCAAGTGCAAGGATGGTAATGTGGTACTTAAACATGATTTTTAGAGAGGCTCTTAAAGCTGCAAGGGTTATTAACCACCAGGAATCTTTCCCTTAATATATATTAAAAGCTGGTTTATATGGAAAGCGTTAGGTGTACTTGAATTTCAAACGCCTTGGTTATTTTATTACTTTACCAATCTAATCAATGCAGGTGTTTCATAGCAAAAGCACACAAGCAGTCACACTGTCTGAGGGCAGCAATGAGTTTCACACATTTCTCCTAGTATAAATAAATAGCCACAAGTGTGCTGGAGTGACTGGGCCTTTGGCATTAATTGCAATTGGATGGCAGTCAGCCTTGAGGTGCAAAAACATACGTGTCTTAACGGATTCATAAAGGAGTTGGGATATCTTCTTCTGAAAATCAACCGCTTCCAATTTTACCAGTTAGGGGACAGGGAAGGACAGAGGTGGGGCCACCACAGCCCAAGCCGGGCAGGGGGTGCAGTCAGTGCCTGTCCCACAGCTGGCTGTGCCGTGGGATGTGGCACAAGGTACCGTGCCCCTCCAGCACATGCGTGCGCTGCCACTCGCCGCAGCCAGCCCAGCCAGGGATCGTGCCATCTCTCTGTCTTTACCAAGATCAAATGGAGCTACTCAATCAGGGGATGCCATTATTGCCTCCACCATGCAATTTCCACTATCAATAATTTACTGTATTGTGCTGCACGGGCAGAAGGGGGAAACGGCCAGACAGATTTTTGACAGGGGGTACGGAATCCACCCCGCGGACGGCGGGGCAGAGCCGAGCAGGGCGTTTCGCCCGACATCCACGGGCTCCGCGCCCGCCCCTGTCTCCGCCGGCGGGCGCTGGCGCGACGGGCGGCCCCGCTGTCGGTGTCGGCCCCCGGCCCATCCCGGTGCCGGTGCCGGTCCGGGCAAAGCCGCCTCGGGGCCGCCGGGGCTTGAGCGCCCGCTGCGCGCCTGCAGAAAGTCACCGGTGTAACGTTACCTGGGGCGCTCATTAATAAGCAATGCCTGTTATTATCTTGATTGCATTCTTAATAGGCGAACTACGGAGAGGTCAGCGCGGGAGCGATATTTAAATGGATCGGGCTTGCTTAATACCCGGCGGAGTAAACCAATATCCCGCCGCTGGCGGGCGAACAGACACCCCCCCCGCCCCACTCGGGGGGCGCCGGGGGAGCGGAGGGGAGCGGAGGAGAGCGGAGCGGAGCGGAGGGGAGCGGGGCCGGGCGGGCGGGGCGGGGGCGGTGGCGGGGCCGGGAGGCGGCGCGGAGGCTCTAAGCGGGGCAGCGCGGTGCCTGCGGCCGCCGCAGCCGCTGGCCGGGGGCGAAGCCGCTCGGCGAGGAGGAGGCGGCGGGGCTGGGCCGGGAAGCTCCGGTTGGGCGGCGGGAGTGGGGGATCCGGCTCCGCTGCCCTCCCGCCCCTCATAAAGCTTTGATGAGACACTTGAGACGCCGCCTGTGTTGCCGAGGCGGCGGGAGGTGGCCGGTGGGACTGGGCGCCCGGGAGAGGATGTGACTTCCCGGAGGGGACCCGGACCAGGCTTTGTGTGGACGACAAGGTACGCGGCGCCCCGCCAGGAAACTTGGAGGGGCCGGGGCTCGGGGGGGTGCGGGTGGCTGCGGGGCTGGGCGGGCGCTGGCCGGGGAGAGGCGTCGGGGAGCGGGAAGGGCGCGGGGGGG